CCTGCTCTTCTCTACTCTTGCAGTGCGAGGATTGAACCCAGGACCTACCCCGTGCTAACACGTGCTCTGCTAAGTGAGCTACAAATTAGCCAAGTCTTTTAACAGAGGAAGTTGAAAATGTTAATTTTCTTTTTCCTTCCTTTCCTTTTTTCTTTTCTTTTAGACAGGCTGACCTTGAACTCAATATATGGACCAGGCTGGCCTCACACCTGATCCTTCTGCCTCAGCCTCCCAAGTGCTGCTATTACAGGCGTGTGCCACTATTATATTTGGCCGTTTTGCAAACTGTGACAGTAATCGGATCTAAAAAATATTGGAATACTCTTGTATGTTTACATCTCATAAAAGAATGAGCTGATTTATTTTTCTTTAGGAATATTAGGGTTTGAGGATACCATTAAATCCTCCAGGTTTGATAGCATTCTCTTTATGTAAAAATTCTTTCTTGTAATTTTATCACTGAAAGAATCTAATTACTCAGTATAATTAGGCTTCATTTATTCATTTTGGCATGTAAATGAATAATGCTTATCTGCATTGCATTTAGAAAATAAGAATTAGATGTACATAGGTTTTTTTTCAGGTTACATTGCGTTCTTTTGGAGTGCATTTTTTATTTATTTACAGAAAAATGTGATGGATGCCTCCATGCCCCTGAGGTGTGTGTATCAGTGAGCAGTGGGTGTATACTTGGGTGCCCGGCCCGCAGGCTGTGAAGGAATTGGCCAGACCTATGTCCCAGTCAGTCGCGCTTCTGTTTTCAGGAAAGCTGAGCAGTGAAGTGGTGAGATTCCCTCCTTCTTCCTCTGGAGAGCTCTGGAGACCCTAAGCCCGATGCCCCATTGCAGCAGGGCCTAGTAAGACCTACCGTACCTACTGTATCAGAGTCCCCCCATCCCCCAAGACCTCTGCATCTGCTGGCTCTGATCACGGTAGAGCTGAAGGTGCTTTGATAGTTCAGAAATATTCTCTTTTTTTTTGAGACAGGGTCTCACTATGTAGTAGAGACTGATCTGGAACTCACTATGTAGCCCAGGCTGGTCTTGAACTCACAGTGATCCTCCTGCCTCAGCCTCCCTAGTGCTGGGATTACAGGCATGCGCCACCACCCCTGGCGAGAAATATTCTTCTGATGGCTGGGTGGGGTTTGTATTTGTTGTACGTTTTTGGCAGAAAACTGATGCGGTTATTTTGAGAAGTAATCTTCAGTGTCAAACATAAACCCAATTTTTCGTTTGATTGCTTTTTCTGTGAGAGCATGTTTTCGTACTTTTCTGAAATGTTTTTGGGGTTATCACGGGTACTCATAGTATTTTTTTGATGAAAGGGAAATAGAAACTGAGATTAGATGTTCTTCTAGGATTAAATATCTGTGAAGTGAAAGAGCTAATAGAATTCAAGTAATTTACTTTTTACTTGTGTTACCCTAAGCTGACCTAAATCTCTCTATATCATGCAAGGTTTGACCGTGGACCTTTGTGTCTTAATGGCCTAATTAAAAATAATCAGTAATTAAAATAACCAAGCTGTAATTCATTTTAAACAAGTGATCTATGACAAATTATATTCTTTTTTTTTTTTTTTTTGACAAATTACACTCTTGAAATGTAATCCTTCCACAAGTTTGGATCCTACCTGATCCTGTGTTGTTTGGTTTCCAGGTTAATGTTGTTCTTCAGTTCAAGTTTAACAGATACTAGGGAAGATCAGTGAATGGGGTGTTGCCCTGCTATTGGTACATCACACATTCATCTTTTACAGTGGGAATGAATGCATTTTACGTATTGATTGATTGATTGATTTATGTTTTTTTGAGACAGGGTCTCACTGTGTAGTTTTGACTGACCTGGAACTCACTATGTAGCCCAGGCTGGTTTCAACTCACAGTGATCCTCCTGCCTCAGCCTCCTGAGTGCTGGAATTACAGGCGTGTGCCACCATGCCTGGCTATGAATGCCTTTTATATAGGATATAAAAAACTTCTTTCTGCATCTGTAAAATTCCAGGTGACCTTGGGTGTGGTAATTTACTCCTGTAATCCCAGCACTTGGGAGGCCGAGGTGGGAGGATTGCAAGTGCCAAGCCAGCCTGGGATCCATTCCATAGTGGTTCCCTACCCTTCCTCTTCCAAAGTCTCTGATTTGAGGAAAACTTTTTTCTGATTTTGACCTGTTTTTATCAAAGGATCTTTCTAATACAGGTTAGGAAGGGTTTTAGTGAATCTCTCATAGATTTTTAACCTTTTTGTGCATACAGACTGTTTTTGTGGATTTGATACTGTTCTTCTGGATGCTTACCCCCCCCCAGATATTTCACCCAAACTGTAGCTAAACATTGTTAAATTTGGTCTCTCTATACTTCCTTTCTGTAAAAATGAAGTTTTTCTAGGTTATAAGTTTCCACTTGAAGGTACTGCTTTTGATTGGTGAATTGAGACCATTTACATTGAGGATTATAATTGATATGTATTGACTTATCTTTGTCATGTTATTTTTGTTTTGGTTCCCCCTTTTTCTCCTCTGTTTAATTGCTACCCTTGCCTGTTGGATTCATTCTGTTGAGGTTCATGGAATTGTATTCCTTGTTATCTCTCTCTTGAATGTCCTTCAGAACATTTTGGATTTTTTTTTTTTTTTTTTGACAAATTACACTCTTGAAATGTAATCCTTCCACAAGTTTGGATCCTACCTGATCCTGTGTTGTTTGGTTTCCAGGTTAATGTTGTTCTTCAGTTCAAGTTTAACAGATACTAGGGAAGATCAGTGAATGGGGTGTTGCCCTGCTATTGGTACATCACACATTCATCTTTTACAGTGGGAATGAATGCATTTTACGTATTGATTGATTGATTGATTTATGTTTTTTTGAGACAGGGTCTCACTGTGTAGTTTTGACTGACCTGGAACTCACTATGTAGCCCAGGCTGGTTTCAACTCACAGTGATCCTCCTGCCTCAGCCTCCTGAGTGCTGGAATTACAGGCGTGTGCCACCATGCCTGGCTATGAATGCCTTTTATATAGGATATAAAAAACTTCTTTCTGCATCTGTAAAATTCCAGGTGACCTTGGGTGTGGTAATTTACTCCTGTAATCCCAGCACTTGGGAGGCCGAGGTGGGAGGATTGCAAGTGCCAAGCCAGCCTGGGATCCATTCCATAGTGGTTCCCTACCCTTCCTCTTCCAAAGTCTCTGATTTGAGGAAAACTTTTTTCTGATTTTGACCTGTTTTTATCAAAGGATCTTTCTAATACAGGTTAGGAAGGGTTTTAGTGAATCTCTCATAGATTTTTAACCTTTTTGTGCATACAGACTGTTTTTGTGGATTTGATACTGTTCTTCTGGATGCTTACCCCCCCCCAGATATTTCACCCAAACTGTAGCTAAACATTGTTAAATTTGGTCTCTCTATACTTCCTTTCTGTAAAAATGAAGTTTTTCTAGGTTATAAGTTTCCACTTGAAGGTACTGCTTTTGATTGGTGAATTGAGACCATTTACATTGAGGATTATAATTGATATGTATTGACTTATCTTTGTCATGTTATTTTTGTTTTGGTTCCCCCTTTTTCTCCTCTGTTTAATTGCTACCCTTGCCTGTTGGATTCATTCTGTTGAGGTTCATGGAATTGTATTCCTTGTTATCTCTCTCTTGAATGTCCTTCAGAACATTTTGGAGTACTGGTTTGGTGGTCATGAATTTCTTTAGATGTTCTTTTGCAGGGCAGTGTCTTATATCTCCATCAGTTTTAAAAGATAGTTTCGTAGGGTACAGCAATCTGGGTTGGAGGTTGTTTTTCTTGTAGGGCTTGAAATGCTTCACTCCAAGCTCCCCTTGGCTGAAGTATTTTTAAATAATGTTTAATTATTTTTAATAATGTTTCTAGACTCCTTTCATGAGGATTCTGGACTGTATCTGCTCATGAATGAAGTCTGGAGCTGGTGGATGTACAGGGCCAGCTGTTGCCACTAGAGTCAGCTTTGCTTCCGAGGGGAATTACAAGTGGGGGGTTGCTCCTTCCACAAGTAGAAACCGGTTGGGTGGTTAGGTAGAGGCAGTGTTTCTTGGGAAGGAGCTAAGTCCCTTCCTCCTCCGTTATCTTTCTGCATCTGCCTTCCTTCCTCCTCTTTCTCTCCTCTCTCCTTTCCTCTTAAATAGCAGTGCCAAATGGCACTAGTGGTCTTGCCTAGCCCTATTTGATAAAATATTTTAGTTTTCAGATAAAAGTTGACCTCCTCCATTCATTCATAGGATCTTTTCCCCTTAATCTTAAAAATTTTTTATTTTAGACTAGAATGTTTTAAAGTACATTTTTTTTCCTCCCAGTGGTGCTGGGGTTTGAACTCAGGGCCTCAGAAGAATAGGCAAGGGCTGTGAGCGCTACTGCAGACCTCAAGTCTGTGTCCTCGGTTCCCAGGGTACCTTTGGGGGGCTCTGTGTAGGACTGTGTGTTACCATTCCAGTATGGTTCTCTCTCAGTAGTATGTACCACAGGAGAAAGCAGCCTAAAAGTGTGCCTTCAAGGTAGTGGTTGCAGTGTTGGGAAGCAGTTTTCAGTGTTGAGTTTGAGGATAGTGTCATCAATTAGGAAATGATGATCTCACTGAACAGAAAATTATAGAGTAGGGTGTTAGTGTTGATTCTTCCCAAACTTGTGAGACATGGTGATACACGCTTATAATCCCAGCACTTGGGAGGCTGAGGCAGGAGGATTGGTACAAGTTTGAGGCCAGCCTAGGCTACATAGTGAGTTCAAGGCTGGCCTGAATTACACACAAGACCCTGTCCCAAAAAGAGGAAAAAGAAGAAAGAAAAAATAAATAAATAAAAGTGCCTCACACAAAAAGGTTCAGAAAGTTGAATATATTAAAGAGTTTTGGTTGATGCCCATGTACATTAAATGGCGTTTTGTCAGCTAAAGACTTAGAGCACATTTGTTTGAACTACCAGGAACTGAAATCTGTTGAGATGAGTGACGGAAGTGATGGCTCTTCTCTTAACAGGTTTTCGTTTGCTTGTGGAAAGGCTGTAAAGTGTACAACACTCCCTCGACCAGTCAGAGCTGGTTACAGAGGCACATGCTGACGCACAGCGGAGACAAGCCTTTCAAGGTACGTACGTGCTTCCTGGTGAGCGTCCCCCGCCTTTCTACAGACTTGTAAATCAACCACTTGTTTTTACATTTCTGTGTAGAAGCTTGAATTTCAAAAGTAGATGGACGGTTTAGTCTCCCCCGCTTTTTTTTCAGGTAGAACAGAAAAAGATGTGCTGTTAAGTGAGGGTCTTAAAAACTTGTAACAGGCAGGCTTTAAGCCATGACTGTCCCTGGGCTGTGGCCCCATGATGATTTCTCACTGTCAGCTTTCAGCATTATTAGCAAATCACACCATTATTTGAAGTTAGGAAATTGTAGAATATTAAGAGATTGGATTTTGCTCAGTTTAGAGGTCGTACTGCCAAGCTTGGTTACAAGTCACTTTGTGAGATGTGTTCTGGGAATCTTTATAAAGAGCAAGTTTCTGTAAAAATTGTTTTTTCCATTTATCTTCATTAAAAATTAAACAAAATATTTAGGTTTCGATTATGAAAAGCATATACACAAATTAGAAGTTTGTGTTTAAAGTTTAATAGTTGTTAAAGCCATAACATCTACTGGAATGTAAATGCTGTGCCAGAAACTTCCCTTGGGTTTCATCATTGAATGAGGTAATTCTTGGAGTTGCTTTTGGAACTCACTTAATGTTTTTGAAAAGACAACCATGAGCAAGTTAAGAAAATTGCTAAAGCATTTCACCCCCGGGTGTGGCACTGAGGTTGCCTATGGGGCCCTCGGGGCTGATGCTTTCTTGAGTTCAGAGACCTTGCTCTTTCTCCTCCTGTGCTCCCTCTGCTCCCTGTGTAACCATTGTTGTGAACTTCTCTAGTCTTTCTTTATGGAAGTACAGCAGATACATTCATGCTGCTTTTTTACAAAATACATTTTGTTAGGGTGCTTTCTTTTTTCTTTTTTTCCTTTCTTTTTGCAGACAAGGTATAGCTGTGTTGCTAGACTGGCTTGCATATGTAGTTCTTCTCCCACACCCTGCCGAATGCTGGGATTGTAGACACATGCCCCCACTCCCGAGAGCAGTGTTAAATACACAGACCCTCACAGAGATAGCAGTTTCCCTGGTCCACCTGAACCAGGCTTCTCCCATTGTGCACGTCCTACTTTGTGGGACTGGATACCTTGCTGTTTCATTTTGTTTGGTTGGTGGTTTTGAGACAGTCTTGTTATGTAGTCCATGCCAGCCTTGAACTTGCTATGTAGCCCAAACTGGTGTCCAGTTTGTGGTCCTCCTGCTTCAGTCTCGACCCAGGGTTTCACACTGAGATACATTCCCAACCCACCTCCCACCTCCTTTTAAAAACGTTTTATTTTGAGATGGTCTCACTGAGCTGCCCAGGCTGGGCTTGAACTGATGCACCTCCTGCTTTAGCCTCTCTGTGTGCTGTGGTTGCAGACAAGGGCCACCATGCCTGGGTAGTAAATACTTTTTTCTGAAGTTTCTTTTGTTGTTTTGTTTTGAGACAGGTTTTGGCTATGTTGTTCAGGAGTTTACGTTGGCCTTAAACTCACTGTGTAGCCCAGGCTGGTCTGGAACTTGCCATGATCCCTTTTGCCTCAGCCTTTTGAGTGCTGGAATTACAGGCGTGCACCGCCATGCCTGGTAGGAATTACCTAGGGGAGCTGAAGGGCCGGGGATCTGGCTCAGTGCTACAGCACTTATGTCGCACCTGTGAGACCCTGGGTTGCTGCCCAGCACTGCAGAAGCAAACAAGACACATAGCTGGTGATGCTGCTTACCTTATGGGGTCGCTGTGCACTGTGTGCTCAATGAGTGTACTGTTTTTGTTAACATAAAAAGGGTATTTACTTTTTTTGTGTATTTCTGTATATTATTTGTGAGGCAGCCATTCTACTAGTTCATTATGTTTAGACTGATTTCAGACCCTGTACAAATGGTTTCCCCCCCACCGCCAACTACTCTTAGAAGCAGTAGGAAATTCCCATGGAGAAGGAAAGAAGCTATCTTTTTCTGGTACTGGGGATTAAACCCCCAAGGTCTTTGCCCTTTTTCTTTTGAGAGAAGGTGTCATTAGTTGCCTAGGATAAGAGGCATGTGCCAATTTGTCTAGCAAGAATGTCTTTCAGGAAAAAAAATATGTCTGAGGTGTTGGTGCACACCTGTAATTACAGCACTCAGGAGGCTGAGGCAGGAGGATCACTGCAAGTAAAAGGTCAACCTGAGCCTACATAGTGAGACCCTGTCTCCAAAAAGAAAAATATTTTCCCCTCTCCTCTTCACCTTTTTTTGTAATGCCAGGAAATGAACCCAGATCTTCACAGGGGTTCTAACCACTGGGCTGTATCTCTACCCTTTAAAAAAAAATTTCCCCCCTCTGTTGTAGTCCTTTTAAAATTCCGTGACAGGGTTTGTTTGACTAAATGCCCGTGCTGACCCAAACTTAAAGTTATCTTGCCTCAGCCTCCTGAGTGTCTGACTAAAGATTTGTGCCACTGCTCCTGGCTCCAAAAAGGATTCTAAAGCCAGGCATGGCGGTGCACACCTGCATCTGCAGCAGTGGGGAGGCTGAGGGATGAATATGAGTTCAAGCCCAGCCTGAGGAACTTAGCAACTTTGTGGGATCTTGGCTCAAAATAAAAACACTTAACTAGTGGCTGGCAGGTTGGCTCATTTGAAGGTCCTGGGCTCTGCAGTACTGTAAAACAAAAGTAAAACCAGTAAACCCAAAAAAGTTCTAGGGAGAATGGTTCAGTACAAGGTATTATTTTGCATGTCACAGAAATTGTTAATTTTAATATTTTACTTGATTAGTATCTTGTACATATTACTGGGGTTTAGTAAATAGTCAGTGGAAGACGTACACAGAAGTCACGAGATGATGTTTGAATTGGTTCTTTGTTTTGGACACAGCATAAAGTGTGCTTACGGGGTCAGGGCCTTAGTTCAGTGGTGCCACCGCCTGCCTCAGAAGCGCAAGGTCCTGAGTTTGATCCCTGGTACCTAAATATATAAAAGTATACTTACATGTTTAGCAGTTTAATGATTTGTTTTATATAGATATTGAAATAAAGAATATTTTCAGTAAAACAAGATTTTTAATATCTCTTTTCTGCCCTCCATCCCTTCTCCCACATCTTACTGTGATTTCGATCATTTTGCCTTAGTTGTTTGAGCTGTGTTTGGCTTTTTTTTCACTCGATGAATTATTCGATTAATCCAGATAGGTCTGTAGGTCTGTGTACAGTTGCTTTATACATTGCTACATAGTATTTCATGGTAAAGACAAGCTACAGTTTATCTGTCTTCCTCTTTTTTGGGTACCAGGGATCGAACACGGGTCCTTGCACTTGTGAGGCAGGCAGCAGAACCACTGAGCTAAATCCCAGGCCCCTATCTGTCTTCTTGTTGATGGTCATTTGCACTGCTTCCAGTCTTTGGCTGCCATCAGTCAAAGTGGACATTCTTCTGTCCCAAGTATGTTTGTCCTTCTTGGCTCCATAACACGTTGTAATTATCAGTCCTTTTAACCTTGGCCATCATGGCTGATGAGAAGTGGTGTTTCACTGTGGATGTAATATTGGAGACCGTTTTTTTTCTTGCGGGGTTTTTTTTTTGAAGGTTTTAATTGTGCAGTCTAGGCTGGCCTTGAATTCACTGTGTATCCCAGGCTGACCTCAAGCGTGCAGGGATCCTCCTGCCTCGTTTGAGTGCATTTTTGTGCTTTGGTTATCAATATTTAGGGAAAGGGATGGTCTATTCAAATCTGCCTGTTTTTTAATTGGATTTTTAAAAAAGTTATTGAGTCATAGAAATTGTTCACATGTTTTAAGTGTAACTCCTATGTCAGATACAGGTATTGCAAATACATCCTAGGCTGTCTTTGGTTGTCCCTTCTTCCTTTTTGTGGGGGGCTGAGTACCAGAGGTTGAACTCAGGACCTTGCTGCCACAGTGCCACTAAACTAAATCCCCAGCCCCTGTTTTCCTTATCTAATGAAGTCTTTCCCTCATGGAGGGTTGTGTATGCACACACAAACCTACACATGAGGAAATTTAACATGTCATTGTATAATTCAGTGGATTTTAGTGTATTTACAAGGTTGTGCAACCATCACTTCTATCTAACCACAGAAAGTACATGTGTTTTTTTTTTTTTGGTGCTGGGGATCAAACTCGGGTCCTTGCACTTGTGAGGCAGGCCACTGAACCGCTGAGCTAAATCCCCAGCCCTGGAGTACATGTGCTTTTAAAAGAGAAAGCATAAAAAAGAGTACAGTAGCTGGGCGTGGTAGCTCAAACCTGTAATCCCAGCACTCAGGAGGCTGAGGCAGGAGGATCGCTGTGAGTTTGAGACCATCCTGAGCTACATAGTGAGAACCGGTCTAAAAAAAAAAGAGTACAATATTTAGGAAATGCAATGTGGTTTTTATGTGTTAATTTTTTGGGGGGGGTACTGGGGAATTGAACTCAGGACCTTGCACTTGAGAGGTAGATGGTGGAACCATTGAGCTAAATCCCCAGCCCTATATGTTATTCTTTATGGTGGCAATTTTAAATTTCTGTTTTCGTGGTACTGGGGATTGAACCCAGGGCCTCGTATGCTGGGTAAGTACTCTGCCATGGAGTACACCCGGCCCTTTTTATTTTGAGGCAGGGTCTAGCTGAGTTGCCCAGTCTGGCCTCCAACTTGAAGTCCTGCCTCAGCCTACAAATAGTTGAGATAGAGTTGTCCACCACCAGGTCCAACTAAGATCCAGTGTTTCTGAGTAGGGAAATTGGGCTGGACAGAAATTAAATGTAAAAGCAGTTGGCTGAAGCAGTTCTCATAGTGACCGTTGTGGAGTTTGTTGTGCAGTGAGTCCAGTGAAGGGGGGACCAAAATTATGATGCTGGCAGCCAGCACTTGAATGATGCTCCTCAGTGCCTCGCATATCACATGACCCATTTTGACCTATTTTAACTGAATTAATCCTTTTGCTTTTTGAGACAGGGTCTCACTATGTAGTTGAGACTGACCAGGCTGGTCTCTAATTCCCAGCAATA